GACGCCCCTAGCGATAGGTTGTCTCTCTTGCGAGCTGTGATAGGCGATGCATTTTTATCTGTGTTTGAGAGCTGTCGGGGGATCCCCATTTTATATAGGTCAAGATGAAGCTTGAAATGCTTTATGAGGCGAGATGGCAGGTGAGATGGTCCCTGTCGATAGAGAGTGTGGACATGGTGGAAGAGTCGCGCTCAGTGGTATTGATGGTGGTCCCGGGAAAAGGAAGACTTAGAGCGGACGGTGGCTGCTTTTTGGATCTATGGAGGCAACGGCCTTGAAGAAGCTCCGGCTGCCAGTAGTAGCGGCGGCGGTGGAGGAGGAGGAGGAGGAGGTGGTGGTCGTAGTAGTAGCGGGAGTAGGCTTGGAGGTGGCCGGGCCCTGGCCTTGGTGGAGGAGGGGGGTGGGAGGTTGCGAGTGTGAGACATGGCCCAGGGGCGGGACGCGAGTAGGTGACGCTTTCAACGAGATACCCTCGAGCCGTAGCAGCTCAGAGTCAGAGATCGCCTCGGTGCCGCCAAGGCCGAGAGCTGTGTCCGGATAGGTCGACGGTGTTTTCCTTTGTTCTCCTGGGACTCTGCCACCTGCCCCTCCCCCTCCCCCTCCCCGTCCCAGTCCCAGTCCCACCCCACCACGGGCGATCGCCGGAGAAGGCTGGCTCTTGCCCGGGCGTATATGTGCAGTAACATCGGTAACCTCAGCAGCTGGACCGCAGTCCTCCTGGTGGGCAGAGGGAAAGCGAATGGCGCCGCTACCACCGCTAGCACTACCAACACTACTACCAGCCGCCATGCAGCTAGTGGCAGCGGGACCAGCTGTCGTGCTAGTCCTAGCCTCCACGGGCGGAACCTGCAGCAGCTGTTGCTGTTGCTGTTGCTGGTGCTGGTGCTGGTGCAAGTGGTGCAGGTGGTGCTGGTGGTTGTGTTGCTGCTGAGAGTGGCAACTCAGCAGGTCGTCGAAATCGTCCGATACGCTCGTTGTGGAGGTGGACCCGTCAAGGGCGGGCATGTCGAAGAAGAGCGAGTCGGGCTGGTCAGGCCACTCGTCACCCGTATGTGACATGCTGTCGAGGTCGAGAAAGTCGTCGAAGCGCAGGTCGTCCGCTGGCATCGCAGACCCCCAGTCCATGGCCTCGTTGTGCGCTGCCGTAGAGCCGCCGTGGTAGGCATCTTTGCCGGCCTCAAAGTTGACCACGTCCGCGTCCAGCGAATCAACCGAGAATTGCACCGCGGAATAACCCAGATCGTCATACTCACTCTTCACTTGCGGGCCGGTGCCGCTCGAGCCCGGCCGCTCATAGTGTGAGACGGGCACCGTCATGCCTTTGACGCAAACGAAAGCCAGTCAAGAGAATCGCTATGGAAGTGGACGTGGAAGTGGAAGTGGAAAAGGCGGGCAGCTTCCCCGGTAATCGTTTTCGGCGACGTTGCGAGTGAAGAATGGGCCGCCTGCACGCAGAGGCAGTAGTGTTGAGAGGAATGGGCTTGCAGTTGGGATGGGATAAATGAACGACTTGCCTCGAAGAAGGCCGTTTTGGGACGAAGGAAGACGGGGATGCGAGTCAACAAATACACCTTGTCTCTTCGTCTCGACGTCTCTGCGCCTCTCCTTCACTCCGCAGCCTTCTGCCAGGGCAACTGGCGTTGGGAATGGACGCCAGTCGAGAAATGGAGTCCTTTCGTCACCAACGAGACAACGAGACAGCTGTCTTTGCTCGAATCCAGTGCAATCGAGCAGCCAGCGCGACAGGGCTGGCAGGGAAAATACACGCTGGTGGGGTGGGGATGTCGCACACGAACGTGCGGTTCTGAGGAATGTTGCGCCTGGGTTGACCCGTTGACGGAGTGAGGTTGTTGCCATTCCAGAGCTTCCGTCAGGAACAAGGCCACAAGGGCTTGGTCCTCTGGCATGGGGGTCAGTTTGCGCGGCGAGTACTCAGCATACACCAGCCAAAGGAGATGATGCTCGTCAAAGAGGCGAACGAGGGGCCATCCGTCCATCCTGCGACAAGGCCGTCGACAAACCAACAACACCCTCTCTCATCTCATCCCCGGCGCAGAGGTAGGGCGACAACACCACGACTGCAAGGCCGATCCATCCACCGCAGCCTAACCCCGCTGTGACTGCATGAGAGAGAGGTCAATGGTCAAAGAGCCTATGGTTTGTCCAGTCCAGATGAATGGCGGTGACTTGGGTTGCCCTCCAATCGCGCTGCCATGCCCATCCAATCTGCATTGCGCGCCACAGCACCTCCCTTTGTTGCCCATCACCGTGGGCATCACACCGAGGGAGAGGTTGCCCTGTTCTGTCGGTGCCTGAGCAGACAAGATTTGCCCAGTGAGCTGCGCTCGGTGCTCGGCCTCAGGCCCAACCCTTTTTGGGGCCAACAGCGAAAAGACCTTCCTGGCCCCTACCAACTTGGGGTTTGGTCACATAGCCTGACGCTTTGCGTAAGAGAGGGAGAGAGACGCACACACGCACAGTGAGATGCGTGTGAACCCCACCACACATTCAACTGCTTCGATGGATGGTTGACGATGCTCATGCCCAGTAATACCAGCTGTCCTGCCATGCCAACCTTTCGCCCTTGCCGCCGTGCATGCGTCTGTCTGCAAGGCACACCTGTATTCGTCGGTCGAGATCGGCGGTTGGCCCACGTACCAAGATGCGCCTGAGACACTCCCTCCCGTTGGAGGGTCTGATTAGATTCCAGAGAGAACCCCATCCGAATCCAACCACGACGTACAAATCACCAACGAATGCCGGTTGCCGGGCGGACCGACGCACACCATGGTCATCCATAGCCATAACGGCCTAGAGGACCTGCTGATGGGCTGCCAAATGGCTGGGTCTCAGTCCTTAAACTTTCACCGGCTGGCAGATGAGGCCGAAGCAATGGCACGCATCTCCGACGACACCACCCCGCGCATTCGGCGGCGGTGGCCGCCGCCTAAGGATGCCGTGCTGTGCGCGATGAAAGACCATACATGTCATGACATGGCCTCGAAATGCGAGTCGTGCCCAACCCTGCGAGCCTCGGTATCGCCATCTACCTCGTGAAGGGTCGTGCGGAACGGCCGAGAGGTCACGTCAGTCAGAGAAGGATGTGGGTGTTATCAGAGGCCTCACATAGGATGGATTGGCGTTCCCGTCGCCAGCCGCCGTCCATGTCGGCCGATGTTCGATCACGCCGGCTCCCCTTAGCGCTGACAAGGCGGCGCTGGCTGTTGAAACCAAGTTTGCTGCAGCCGCTATGGCTGCATCGTAAGATCCGACTGGCTGGTGAGCCACCCAAATCAAAATAACCCGTCAAAACGGCCGCCCGCGCACTTCGCTTGCCCCGGGGTTGGGTGGAGGATTGACGCCATCCCTAACTCTCCTGCGAAAAATCGGAAACCTGATTACTCTGACAAAAAGGCCAGAGAATTAGCAATACAAGATGCAGCAGCGCCGCCCCACCTAATTGTGAACCGTCTTGTCCTGCTAGCTTCGGAGTTCCGTCTCTGTTGCGGCGTTCTGGAGCTGTCCATGTCAAAGGCATAACATTGTCCCTAGTGTGGGGGGTCCCAGCAAGTTGGCTCGACCAGAAATAGATAATGGGGTCGGTACCCTGCTGGTCAATTCTCGTCTGAGGTCCCTACTATGATCTCATCAAACGCTCTACCATGACGGGGCATCGCGCTTCCCAGGACGAAGAAGCTTATCCAGTTTGGTATTTCCAATACCGAGACGAAAAAAGAAGTCGAAGGAAAATCATATCCCAATATGGCGCGCCATATCGCGCGTTGAAGACCAAACACCTTGACTGTCGGTCAACCCTATGCCCCTCTAATCACACCAAACGCCTCGAGACACCATGGTCCTGTTGCCACGATATTGCAGTACGCCATAACTGTGATTATAGCGGATGCGAAAATGTCAAATCCAACCCTAGGTAATGCCGCCGCCGTAATCACCAACTGCATGGGAGATGATCACATCTTGCATACGTTACAATGCGTCGGCCTCTGCCGCATGTCATAAGATCAGTTCGGATCCTCGTTTGCTGGAGCTGGAGCTGGAGCTGGGTCCGGTAAGGTCGGTAGGTCCTTTCGTTTCCGCATTCTTGGTCTGCTCCTGACGACGGGTTGAATCCTTGAAGTATATTGGCCGGACACTCGGTAGCGGAGCGGCCCCAATTGCCGATACCCGTTGGTGCTCGGTTGTCGTAACAACTCGGTCGACGAGTGTCGCCACACATACTCCTCGCCGTTCTCGTCGCAAAATCCTTCGTCTACCTCGAGGGTGTCGCTCGCAGCCAACGTGTCGGGATCCGCAGGCTGAATAGGTCCATGTCTCACTGTCAAGTCGCGCGGGGAGAGGTGTGTCGTGGCGACAACAGATTGCGAGGATTCGCCGTCATCATGCTGAGGACTGGTGGGCTCGGCAAGTTTTGGGACTTTCGTATTGGCGGCGTTGCCGTCGGAGTGCGCATCACGTATTCGCTTGAGTCGCCTCTGCCCCCGAGATGCGATTTTGCTCATAAATTCGGCTTCCAATTCCTCATCAAACGCTTCGTCACCGTCGACTTCCAATGATGGAGTAACGACGCTGACAGGAGAGGCGCGGGCGTCACGGCGAGGAGCCAGTGCGGGTTGAGGACGTGAGGGTGACGACGATGATGCTGACAAAGGTTTTGATAAGGATATCGCTGGTGCCATGAGATTTAGAGCGGTTGGCGTACAACTGAAGTCAGTTTGGGGGTGCGGGTGCTCTAGTGGCAGACGTTTCGGGGACAATAGGAACTCGTCGTAATTTGGTCCCAGGCGCCTGGGTGGCGGGTTGGGTGTAATGGCGGTGCCACTGTAACCCGACGTGGAGCGGTTGGACATGTCGTGCGATGGCTGCGTGAACGCCGGCCGCGGTGAACAGGTGGACGGAGAACCGTGATCATGGAGCGATGCGTCCAGCGACATGTTCCAGAGAGGTTCAAACGGGCGGTGGACGAAGTGAACAACGACAGATGATCGAAAGTTGCTGAAGGAGTCGAGCCGAACGGGGGTTTGTAATGGTATTATGAGGACATCCACACGTGCTGCACTAGTGGGTGGCCCAAGGGACGCCGTGGGCGCCCCAGCTCGCTGGTGGATGGGTCGCTCGTAGTGTGGGATGGCGGCCAGTGGCCGACTTTGCAGTCTAGCGGTTCAAACCTCGGCGGGAGATGGATGATGGCGTTGAATAGACCGTTGCCGTGAGTACGACGGTGATCCGGCGTGCTCGAGGTATCAAGAGCTCGAAAGCGTGAAGGTCCAACAAGGCCAGCCGGCGTCTGCGGAACAAGAGCACAATGCGAGGCAGGCAGGCAGGCACAGAGACCAGATGGCCAGACAGCAGGGGGAAGGTGGAAT